TCAGGGCGTTCAAAGGCACCCCAACCGGCACGAGGAATTGCACACCTAATGAGATAAATGATGAAAAACACAGACTGTTCAAAGTCACCCTATTGCATGGTGACTTTGAACACCAGACATTTTTTTGAAAAATAGGGGAATGGCTATACCTAATTTTTTGTTGACACCATGGATGGATAAGGCCAGACTCAGCCCACAAAATAGTCCATGTTTCGCATTTCTATCTACAGTAGTTTTCAAGATATTCACCGATAAGTCTCAAAACTGTCCAAAGTCGCCCCGTTTTACGGTACATAACATAATTGGATTAAAAGGGTTATGTGGGGGATGGTGGATGCCACCACCTGCTGATCTTAGGGCGTGTCCCCGTACCTTCAAGCCGTTCACGGAAACACCACCATCCATCGGCGTGCAGATAACACCGCTGACTCGTGACAGATTGGCCATGAATTTCGGAATCGGAGCCCGCCATCGCCGCGGCCCTGACAGCAGCACATTGCTTACTGATGCAATCCGCCACGATGGATTACTTTTCGGGCTCAGTTTCAGCTCCAGAGCCGCCGCCAGCGCGGCGTGCTGTAATTCGACAGACACGACAGAAAGAAGGCCCATTTAGAACAAATATTTCCGTCACAGGGCCGCGGAAAGTTAGAGACAAATGACAAAGTTGGTTTTATGAGTCATTTGTTGAGCGTCCGCCTGCTAGCCTTGCGTGCGAGGATACAAGACAAAAAGCCGAGTTTCAGCAAACGCATCATCATCTGACCCGTGACAGCCCGACCACCTGGTCTGTTTACCTAGTACAGTCGTGTACAGGTTGATGGTCCCCTACTCTTTATCCACCGGGTTCCTATGGCTCAGCATTGGCAGCAGCCGCCTGGTACCGGTAGGCTGTGCCGCATGACCCGAGAGTGAAGCGGCACAGCCTACCCACACTGTATGACACCGGCTCGGGTCGCCTGGTAGAGCGATTTGACCGGACGCTGCGTTACACCGGCTGGGGGGAGGGGGGGTAAAGGTCAGGCCTGTCTATTTAGCTCGGCTCGGTGGATGAGGCGGGCTGGAGTGTGGTGTGGGACGAGGGTGATGTGGGGAGGGGGTGAGCGGACCTGGGGCTGGGTGTGTGTGGTCACTTGTCGCATAGAACCGATCGTAATCCACCCTCCAAAAATTCGCTTTAGAGATATTCACAAAACCCAGGGGGGTTCAAACACCCATATATCCCAAATGGGGTGCGGAAGGACAGGTAAGGGTCCATACGGTCTCCTCATGAATTGCAGCAAAGAAAGAAAACAGACCTGTCACCAAATAATCTTTCTGAAAAGTGGACTAATCGCATAGCCTCGGACACAGAAATAAACATCAAGCACGCGAGGCGTCTCGAACCGGGCCTCTCACTACCGGTCAGTTTGACAGTCTAGCACTCCTATGCTGAGCTACACCGGATAGTGGCCACGGCCGGGGCAAAGTCTGCTCTGGCCGGGCGGGCGGCGGGGCCGGGAGATCGGCAGCAAAGTCAATGAATGTTTTTTGTGGTTTCGGGTGCCGGTCGCTCTAGCTTGGTGGAATGATGATGGATCATTTGGCAAAACTTTCAACGTGGAGTCCCGGTTCGAGCCTCATCGGGACTCCGGCTACTTTTCCGAGTTAGGATCTGGTTTGACTTTAGTGGTTGCGAGCCATTTATACGGTTTTATATCTACATGTCGATTGTCGATTGATTGATTGATTCATTCCTTCGTTCATTTATTACATGTCGACATTTAGCATAGGACGAATTGACATCCAGGATCAACCCGATCAATCTACCATTTTCATAAGCGTATTGCCCAAATATCATGCATATATGTGGCACAAGACCTATGGTTGCCTCGATACCTCGGTACCGTGCCAAATCACGTTTTGCACAAAGCACAAGTAAATTATATTCGCTGGGTCTTCCGTGCATTGTGCTTAGCAAAAACAGGAATGCAATTGTTAAGCGACGCAAAATGTGCAATGCAGCAAGTGACCACACAACCCGCCCAGCCCCCATGGTCCACCAACACGCCCCACACCACTCCCCAGCCCACGCCAACCACCGAGACGAGCCCCTCCCCCGCGCTGGTCTGACGCGACAGCTGGTCTACAAAGCGCTCCACCCGGCGACCCGAGCCGATGTCAAACGGCGTGGGCAGACTGTGCCGCTTCACTCTCGGGTCATGCGGCACAGCCTACCGATACCAGGCGGCTGCTGCCAATGCTGAGCCATAGGAACCCGGTGGATAAAGAGTAGGGGACCATCAACCTGTACACGACTGTACCTACCAATTTCTTTTTTTTTTAGCCCGCCTGCACGACCGGTAGAAAACGGGAATATGACTTTTAAAAATACAATTGACTATCAACAAAGCCATGTGGACTACGACTTCAGAATATGAAGTAGTCTAAATTTCGACGATCCCGACTCCGGCCAGAAATGTCGACTCCGATGTAACAAACCGAAGGAGGCAAGTCCAAACCATCACAGTCAATATACTAACAACCAGATATCCTTGTGCATTCATCGCCTTCTAATGTCACTTAAAAATGTATAATGGAAATGCTTCTGTAGTTTTTCTACATATCTAACCGTTGCCCGTACAAGGAGGGGGGGGGGGGTTCGAACGGACCCTCCTCGGTTTTCGCGGCGACGAAAATTCCAGCACCCTCGCGTCAATCAATTTTACACCTACCCTGAAAATAGCATGACCCTGACCCAAATGACCTTTGACCTGTGGCCTACTTTTCCAGACCATGTTTGGCCGAAATCGCGATTCGGCGTATGTCGGCTCGCACTAGCCGCGCGTTTGCAGTCTTTTTGTGGTTTCAAGCGTTCAAACATGTGATATGATGTTGCTCCCATGCATTAGGGTGGGTGTCAAGGTCACCTGAAGGTCAGGTCAGGTCACTGACCTTTGATGACCTTGGTTCACTTTCCGAGTTTCTAAGCTAGTTTTTGGAACTGATTTCGAATTTAGCAACCGTTTCAACGTTTACGAAGCACGTACCTAGTTTTAGTGCTTTCGTAATATGTTACGAAGCTGCCAGTGGTGGTTGACACCTACTATGAATACCCGGCCGGACCCCTACTGGTTGACCTGACCTGACCCGACCTGGCCTAAATGCATATAGACATCATATGTGATCAAACTAGCATGAAATTCGTGATCAGCACCCCCAAACCCCCCCCCCCCATTACAACCTCATTTTACGAAGTTCTGACAGGTCCCGATTTTCTCGACTTTTGGGTCATTGACCTGATCTGGAAGGTCAACCAATAACCTAGGACCTTAAAACTGGGTATTATCAGCTTCCTCTCGTCAGTCGTCAGGGGCAGCACGCTCGATTTTTCCGCGAAGCTCTAGCTCAATCAGGGGCCGAACGGCAACGGGGGTCCACCGCCCCCCCCCCCCCCCCGTGCGTTCGCGGCTGGCAAAACATCAAGGTGATCAATACCGGGCGAGGATCAAGTTCAAACGTCTGAATGAGTAGTTTCTAGCTGGAGTGTTAAGCAGCCATGACTTGTTGCACTGCACCTCAGAACCACCACCCGACTATGTCAGAATTGATGCCAAGGTTGATATTAGCACCAAGGCTGCAGAGTCAATGGATTTTCGGTGACTCCGACTCCGACTCCGGCTTTCAAAAATCAATTTCGACTCCGACTTCGGGCAGAGCTGTCGACTCCGACCGACTCCAACTCCGACGCCGACTCCACTGAACTGGCAGGGATGCGGATTTGATTAATTTTCGGTGACTTAGACTCCGCATCCGGTTTCTGTTTCCAAAATCGACTCTGACTCCGGTCAGAACCATCGACTCCGACGGCGACCGATTACAACTCTGCAGCCCTGATTAGCGTATATGAATAGCTCATAACTGACCCACAGTATGTGAAGGTCCTACAAGGTCATCTTAGGTCAACATCAAGCATGGCAATAAATAAATAACTATTGTCAGACAGCATATCCTAACATGGTAATGGTAAGCATGATATCCACCTTCTTTAAATAGGTATATGTGAAACAAAGAGGCATTTGCTTAGGTACTTCACTCACTCCTACACTGGGGTCAGTTCAACAGGGCAATGGAAAACCCAATATGCAGCTGAAAGGGAGGCAAAGCTTTCCTGCTGATACTCCCAGGTCTCCCTTCACTGCATGCTGCCAGGTGCTGACAGAGGATGTTGCCATATGCAACTATCTGGTCATTCATGCGACATTCAATAGCTCTCCCATAGCATTAATGCACTTGCAGTTAGAACAGAGAATCAGTGATTTTGTGGTCGACTGCAGAGCATGCCATGTAGGCATGTAACATGTACGTGCACCGAGAAGATTTACCTATGAGATTTTTTCTTTCACAGTGAGCTGACACAGGCGTGTCATCTTTAGCTGCATACATATAATGTCATATCATGGCAGAACAGTCCATGTTTTTATATGTTCCCCTTTTCCCTCTTACACGGCCAAAACATGAGGGTATTTTGGCTCATATCTGCAGACTGCAACTGCCGTCATTTCACTTATTTTGCCTGATCTTCAACATTGAAACGATGCTGTGAAGTAGGTCACAGATGTTACTTGAAGGGATCAGCACACTGGGGTTTTCAGGGTGCACCACTTAAAGAAAACCATGTGGGTCAGACCATCAGGTCAGGCTACAGCCCAGTGTCCTTAGACCAAAGAGTAGGTAGGTACCTACTCTGCAGCCAGCAACCAGTGGTGATCCCAAATTGAAATCTGGAGCAGCATATGTGAGGTAAGGAGTCCTTACTCCTTATCCTGGAGTCCAAGTCAAACGGGAAACGTGTAAAAAATGAAATTAATGACCGCTTGATTAGGCATAATATTGATATAGAAAACAAAATATGAAGGCCATTATCATCATCTCTAACCTAAATATCAGCAGTAGCTTAAGCATCCAACAAACATCGAGTTTCGTTATCTTACATTGGAATGGAATTAAATTGTACATACCAGTAGCAGCCTGTGATGGGCCCCTGCCTTTTGCCTTATTGATATGATGTGGCGACTCCATTTTATCTCAGTCTTGAGTGTTTCAGTACAATCTTATCTCAATCTGATTCATCTACAATCAGCACTCCAAATGATTGCTACAAACATGCCAAAAGTCCCTTATCTTATGACAACGGCACACTCCAATCCCTCCAGCCGATATCGTCTCCGTCGCGTCGTCGTATGTTCACAACACTGAACTCTATAGGTTTACAACTAAAATTTATCGATCAAGGTTGTAAGATATACCAGAAGCATTTCATTTAGCCCACCCTACAAATGTGGCGAAGTGACGTCATGAAAACTACAGCTGATCTTGGACTGATCCAGACTGATCTACAACACAGGCCTTGCCTCAGCATATTATTGTAAAAAAAAAAGATCAGTAAAAAAGGAAACCTGGGTTTTGAACTGGAATAGCAGTTCCGTAGCTTGGGCTGAGACGAGCATAAATCAGGAGCTTTTACAGCCCAACGATTACCCTAGGCAAAGATATTCTATTTCTCGTCCCGAAAAAGGTGTCTTGCGTTGAGGATGTGTGCCTTGCATATATTTCCATCCAGTATGAAAAGAGCATGGGTCCCGAAAATTCTTCAGAAACTAGAGAAATTATCTACGAGAACTCTAGAGAAATTCTCGTACTGATCAATTAGGACATTCAGGGGAACATTATCAGATCGAGCAGATCGCCCAAATGCCGGTGGCTGTGATAATTTCTCTGTTTCTGAAGAATTTTCGGGACCCATGCTCTTTTCATACTGGATCGCGTGTGCCTTACAGAAACTGAAAAGTTCTTCCTATATCAAAATATAGAAAAAAAAAATCTTTTGTTATAAAAAGGTTTTATTTTCTTTGCTGATTATTTTGAACATAAAAAATAATAAATCGTTGCAAAAAAATAATTTCGTGAAAGTGAACTATTTCCTTTAAAAAGTGAACTATTTCCTTTAACTTGACTCTAAAACTGGGTGAAGAGTTGTACCTACTTGGTACATAAATTTCATTTTCGCTCCTATGTGAAGCAACCGAACTACTTGTGTGCAATTCGGCGTGCGTACCTGCCACCTGGCCAATGCCGACGCCGTGCAGTCTCTCTTGAAAGTACTGGCCTGCGGGGAAAGGATGAACCGGTAAACCAACGGCTGAAACCAATTCGACCCTCTTTTACCCCTTCCTCCCAGGTATTTCCATCCATCTCTATGTCAAGTGGTTCGGTGACTCAAACTTAGCAGTCCTTCTCGGACGGCATCGATAGCACCGCCGCGCTGTGTATCGGTACTTTCAAGAGAGATCACTGTACCTATAGAGCAATTAGCCTGACCAGTCTCTACCGCCTTCTTCCACTGATCGATGCACAATCGATATCTGTTGAGGCTAATTGGCTACAACATCGGCAATCGCCGATCAACAGCTATTTTGCCTCCCGTCCTGCTTCACTTCAAAGTTCCAAGCGTACGGGATTCTCCAGCGCCTTCTCCGGCTCCTTCTACACCATTCCTTTTCTGAGCATCATAGATAACCCGCACTACCAGGCCTTACAAGGATAGCATAACCATTTGCTTCATGACACTTTTTAGTTACCGTCTGAAGAAGTTACTTTGCCAAGAACCGATTGAAATAAAAGCGAATTCTTTACAAATAGTTTATACAGCTCGTACAAAACGTAAAGGAAGCGCGACATGGGGCACATGACTGGACAGGGGAATTATATAGCATTGTTCCCTCGAACGCTCAGAGCAGGGCAAGACCGATACGCGGAGCAAGAAAAGCGCAAGCATGCCACATTGGCAGCAGCGACAGCCACCAGCGCGGCGGGTCGGGCGTTCGGTGCGCATGATGAACCGTCCCGTCCACTCCAGTCCGGAGTACATGGGTGCGTGTAACGATACTAAAAACGTGCAGCGTATCCAGCCAGCTAACATGGTCTGTAGACTTGTAGAGGGACGCGGCTATTCAGCCAGCCGAATCATTCGCATTGGCAATTCATGGACTATTTGGCGCCATCAGGTTAAAACAGTCGTCAAGGCAGGAGCTCCCGCCACTCAGTCTGCTCTCCCCGGGTCCTCTCGCTCGCTGTTCCGACTCTCCTCCGTCACCTCAGCTGCTCTCTCCACCCCTCCTCTCCTTCGCCTGTCACTCCGCCGCTCATTTCTTCTTCTTTCCGAGAGTGAGGGTGCCCGATCCGGCCATGTGGGCCGCCTTGCGCCGGTGGAACTCAGCGATCTCCTCCTCCAGTTGCCGCCGCTCCTCCTCCACACGCCGCTTCTCCTCGCCATGTTCACGCTTCATCTTGTCGAATCGCTGCTGCAGCTGTCGGACGGGCGCACAGGGCAGGGTTACGACCGGCACAGAATATCATGTCATACATTTCGATTCATGTGTCAGATTATATGAGCAGCACGAGGGATGGGCATGAACGTGAGATGGCACACATTAGCCGACATATATCCGATATAAGTATGATATCGTCCTTGAGGTTAAAAATAAAAGGCATTGCGAGCAGGATAATAGCCCCAAAAACTTCATTATATAGATCTTAACCCGCGCACCGACGGGGGGGCGGATATCCGCCCCCCCCCCCCCTGAGGTTTTTCGCGAATAGCGGGAAAACCGCGGCGCGTAGCGCCGCGAAATTTGGTATGACTATTCCCTTATCAATTTTACACATGGTGTGCAAGTTTGAACCTCCTACCTTTCAAGGTCAGGTCACCAGGTCACTTTGAATGACCCAACCTCAAGTCACTTTTTTGCAACTTTGTCACCGTGCCAGAGCTACAGTAGATGTCGGAGGCCTTTGAAACTCGCAGGATGTTATTAGGTCATTAGTAGCTACAATTTGTATATCTCGGAATTTTGATATCGGTGACCTAAGGTCAGGTCAATTTCGCGACCTCCCCATTATAAGTCAATGGGGGAAAAATCAACTCCCTGTTTTTACCACTAAAACGGGTCGGAATGGCCCCATATACCATACATGACTTCATATACGATCAACCTTCACTACCTTGAGGTCTGTTTTGCTGTTGGGCAGCTGTGAGGTCATGTGACGTCATCAAAGGTCACCAAAGGTTTTTGGCCAATAACTCCGTACAGGAACAAGATACAGACGCGTGGATGGTCTCATTGTGTTCAGCTCGTCAAGACGCATCGAATGATATACATGATGACCTCGAGGTCACGTGACCTGAGGTCAACCTTTGACCTTGACCTTTCGAGGTCAACATATATATATATCATTCGATGCGGATTGACGAGAGGATCACGATGATGCCCTTAGTTTGTTCCTATCTTGACTAATTCGAAAGTTATTCGAGAAAAACTCTCTCCATATTTAGCGCCGCCATTTTGACTTTTTCGACCCCTGTGACGTCATCTTTGACCTGACCTGAAAATGACCTTAGTAAAAATTGTAGATCTTGACCGTGCGTATCCGATGCCGTTTACCGCTTGTCGCTATCTTGCTTCGTTCTTGAGATCTCAGGGGGGGCGGTCATCCGCCCCCCCCCCCGTCGGTACTAAGTTGGCGCAGACCCCCGTCGGTGCGCGGGTTAACAGCAACACACAATGAAATGACGCCGATGAAAAAAAAAAACTGAATAAGAGCCGCGAACGCTTTCATTGGCGCGTACCTGTTTCTCGGCCTCCTTGAGCTCTGTCTCCTTTTCCTTGACGCGCTGGACGAACATCTGTCGCATCTGGTCCTCCTTCTGCTGCATCTCGTCCAGGTGCTCAGAGCGCTTGGTCTCGTACGTCTCCTGGAAGTTGACCGGCTTGTTGTCCGGACCGACGTCGCTGAAGCCCATCTGGCGGCGGCGAGGGAAGGTAGTCGGTTAGAGAGGGGTCGGTAGATGGCGGGCCAGTGCAGGAGAAAGTGCAGCGAATGGAACACGACCGTGACATGTGTGTCAAACAAGGCATTGTTCGCAAGGCTGCCCTAGTCTATCCCAACCAACAAATGTTACTAAAAAACCGACCTCAGATATGTATTGTTCCGTCTGGAGATATTTAACCCACCAAGCTGAGGAGTGAGGATTGCTTCAAAGCAAAAACTTACGTGCCATTTTGCCAGAGATTTTTGTTGGACGTAAAATACCCACCTTCTCGAGGCGCGCCTGCCGGTAGAGCTCGTAGTGCTTGGTGTGCGTGGTGTCGCGCAGATCCTCCATGTTGGTGCGAATCAACATCTCACGGAGCTTCACAAAGTCGCAGTGGTTCTCGTTCTCAACTGAAACACGACAACGTACGCTGATACACTGCAGCAAATACTGTCGAAAAAAAAGATAATGCATTTAAAGACAAATATTCATTCTCGAAAACTGATGATTAGTTATAACAGTGCATCAGTGCATGGAAGCGCTTCGTGGTGAATGTGATACCACACCACTTCCTTTTCGATCATCTCCTTCCGGCATACCTCCCGTCACTCACTGTCCCACTGCGCCACTCACCCTGCACGGTGCCCCAGGGGTACTCGCGAGCCCTGGCCATCTTGTTGCCGACCTTGACGAAGTCGGTGCTGCCCACCACCGCGAACGGAATGTGTGCGTTCATCGCCTGGTTGGTCTCGGCCACCGTCGTGTCGTCGGTTGGGAAGTGGTAGATCTGCACGCCGTTGCTGTTCAGCTCAGCCAGAATGCGTTGCTGTCGGCCGGTGGGAGAATGTCGTAAGATGCACTTAACTGATGGCTGATTGAATGGTAGAGGTATAGACCGTGCTATATATCGATACGATACGATATAGTGGTCAATGGTAGAGGCGATGCCGCATGACACCTCTAGCATGGGCATGACACCTCTAGGAATGAATAATATTATTTGACGAAGCTCCGTCCTTATCGAGGCATTGGGTGTAGGCTACTCAGGACTTTCGGATTGACCGCTACAGGAGCTTCACGGAAATTCCGGTGGACTCAACTGAACGGAAATCAACTGAACGATACGGAAAGGATTGGCCTGACGATATCGGCACTCAATATGCACCGGTTAGCATCACGGCCTCTTTAAAGCAGCATGCAATATAAGATAAGGCCGTCTGTCTCGATAACGCAACGTAGTTGTGCCCTACAATCGCTATCATGATTTAGTCAGGTGTGCTCTAAAACAGCTTAGCCCGAATGACATAATTGACCGGGCGCAACAATGTCTTCTAATTCTGATTCTTTCTCAGCAGATAGGCAGAACTATAACGAAAAGAAAATTTCAACTGAAGTAGCTGGCCATTGACATAGTAAGGGCATATTCTTCGCCTAGAGACTCCTAGCCTTTTTTTATGAATCTGACGTCGTTGTCTAGCAATACTGAACTCCTAGCCTTATAAGTTATACCGTAAATACCCAACGTATAAACATCTGAATTTACCTTGAACTTGATAAGCTCGGTCTTGGAGATGGTGTCCGCCTTGGCGATGACGGGGATGATGTTCACCTTGCTCTGCAGCTTCTTCATGCACACAAGATCCAGAGACTTCAGGCTGAGGAAGGAAAGAGGAGGGAGCGGTTAAATAATATCTCATACCTCGCATTCAATGACGTTTCATTCCATCGAAGCCCTGGCGTTGGTGTCATGCGTGTGAAGATCGAGAGTCATCATTATTAGCTTTCCAATTTGACATTTGACTTGAGATACGTAAAGCATCACCATGCACGGTCATTAACTACGTTAACTAAACTACGTCTACCACGTCGTTTTACCTAGAATAGAGACCCCTCGCACCGTACTCGTAAATGTCCAAGACCGGTCACTTGTCTTTAAGCATTATGAGACAAGCTCAACTAGCACAGATGTCCGCCCAGATTAAATGTGCGACCGGTTCCCGCTTTCGAACAGGTTCAGGCGATTTAAAGTGAAATCACACGCCTGCGGATCTTAACGTTCACAATACACGGAACAGCACCGAACGCCTGCGACGTAAAACGATGCCGTTTTTCCACGCCATCGCCCACAGCGACCGCAACAACGCGGCGCTATCTCACTCTCTCCTTCCCGTTCCAGCGCCGTCCGTTCACAAACATCAGCAATGGTCATCAGCGAAACTCCCCCTCTGGGCCTCAGCGCTGACCACTCACCCGTGCCCCGTGGGGCAGATAAAGTAGACGCAGGCGTGAATGCGCGTGTCATGGTACGCCGAGAGGGACCGCTTGATCTTCAGCTCCTCCTGCAGGTAGTTCTCGAACTGGGTGTCGATGTAGTCGACGATGGCCTTGAAGCTGTCTTCCTTGTTGATTTGGTCTCCGTAACCCACGGTATCGCAGAGAGTAAGCTGAATAAATATTAACAACGTTAGTCAAATAACGCAGCGTGAAGTTGTTTTCCACGCCTGGCAGCCTAGGAATGCCATGAGTGAGACTAGCCCGGGGTGATTACATCACGTCATTCTTTCTGCAGCCTCCGCTAGCCCAACCCCGGGCTCTTGTCGCCCTACCGACCGCACCCGTTACATAAACATTACCATATGGGGGCATGAGCCGGAGCGGCGTCCTGACATCGGACACACTATTGACGCGACCGTCAACACATCACTCAAACAAACAGCGGTTTCTACTAGCCCAAGGTGGTCTGGAAGAGCTGTGCCCTTCTCCGTGATGTGGAATAGACCAACCATAGTTATAAAATAACACAAAATAAATACCTAGAACTTAGAAAAAAACTGGATGGAGCTTGGAGACATAGGTACGAGCCTGGACAAACGCACTTATACAGACGCCATTGCCATCAGTTGTGACCGCTTATTGATGGGTTACAATTACATTGATGATGCGGTTCTAAGTTTTAGATCTGGGACGAACGAATTTTGCATTGAAACTTACCTAAACATTGGTGTAATTTTTAAAAGGACGTGAATATTGAAAATAATTTCAGAGACAAAAGAAGTCAATGAAAATAGCCTATGGCTTCACGATCGATCATTTTATCTAGGTGAAACGAAAGTTGCAGTGGGCAAATCATATGCTTCTTAGGCTTGTCTATTTCATCCAATAGCACATCGTTCCGTGCTTCTATCCTCAGGATACTGAAATCCTTCTCCTCCACGCCGCAATCCCCTCCGGGCTGGACAGGCAACTTTATCTCATGCGGGCTGCTCCCTTGGAGCGGCACCGCTGCTCCCGAGGGAGCGCACCCCGTAGCCGGGTGCAGTGAGTGCCTTGGGGCTGGGTGGCCTGTCCTCTGGACGGGCTCAGCTCCGGCGACTCATTAGGATGCCTGCCCAGACCAATGTCTCCCCCTATATCCTATCATCCTGCCGGCTCTGAAATGGTCTCATTGGACCGAAAGGGCCTAACCCAACAAAAAAAAAAAATCCAATAGCAGCCTGAGACATTGCACCTCACAAATGATTTTAGCCTTATCACTTAACCCTCGCCCGTATGGAGGCGGGGGGGGGGGGGGGTGTCGAACGGACCCCCCTCGGTTTTTCGCGAATAACTCGCGTAAAAAGCGGTCGATCGCGACGAAAATTTCAGTACCCTCGCGTTCATCAATTTTACACCTACCCTGCCCCATGACCCGGACCCAAATGACCTTTAACCTGTGACCAACTTTTCGAGACCATGTTTGGCCGGAATCGCGATTCGGCTATGTCGGCTCGCACTAGCCGCGCGTTTGCAGTCTTTTCGTGGTTTCACTAGCGTTCAAACAGGTGATATGATGTCGGTACTATGCATACGGGTAGATGTCAGTCACCTGAAGGTCAGGACAGGTCATTGTCCTTATATGACCTCGGTTGACTTTTTCGAGTTTTACATGTTTCTAGGCTAGTTTTTGGAATTGAATTCGAGCTTAGCAACCATTTGAACATTTATGAAGTGGTTTTGGGGCCTTCGTAACATGTTACGAAGCTGTCAGATGCGGTTGACAGTGACACCTACTACGAATACCCGGCAGGACCCCTACTGGTTGACCTGACCTGACCTGACCCGACCTAGCTTAAATGCATTAAGATGTCATCTGTTATCAAAACTAGCATGATATTCGTGATCAGCACCCCGGAAAACCCCTGAGCAGCCACACTTTACGACGTTCCAACAAGTCCCGATTTTTCCGACCTTTGGGTCATTGACCTGACCTGGTAGGTCAACCAATGACCTAGGACCTTAAAATTGGGTATCATCGGCTTCCTCACGTCACCGGCAACACGCTCAATTTTCCGTGCAGCTCTAGCTCGATATCAGGGGCGAAACGGCAAGGGGGTCCAACCGACGCCCCTCCCCCTCCCTTACGTTCGCGGCTGGCAAAACACCAATACGGGTGAGGGTTAAAGGAGAAGGTGAGACAAGCGTTTGATTTAAGAGCGGGTGAAGAAGTTCAAACGTCATGAGTCTTTCATTTATGACTTACCACCAACTTCACCTTCCTCGGTTGCTTGGAGCATGAAAAGACAATCATTGAACAACATTGTATAAGTAGTGCGATTGCATAGGTAGGACCACTTTTTCTTCTTCTTCAATATAGAAATGACAGCCTAAATTTTGTGGACTGAACAAATGACATTGAATTTCTCAGTTACTCTTTAAGTTTTAAATTATCCCTCCAATATGCAAAATTCAGTGACACAAAAAAGTAAGCAAACAGAACACTATAAATAGGCAGGTATGAGAATATATCTTACCTTCAATTTAACATTGCTTTCCTGGAGTTCATAGGTGTGTGCCTTCAGCTTCACTACTGACAAGTTGTGTGGACTTTGTGAAGACTCGAAGTTGGTATTGAACAATGAGTCCATAAGAGTTGACTTTCCCAGCCCAGTCTCACCTGAAAAAAAATGTATACAACTGAATCAACTGACCAAAGAAGGGCATCCATAACTTGTCAGAATGTTTCCATTACCTACATTTGATTTGGATGCCTGTGATAAAATATCAGTCAACTAGCAGCAATGACACTAGTCAAAATACAAAAAAAAATGTTGCTAACTTTTGAGCTTCATACTTTATTTCATCAGAACTGTCTAGTGCCACAAGGTATAGCATTACATTTATCCTGTTTCTGCATAGTTTTTTATGCAAAATGATGCAAGCGCTGGTTTACTTTATCATACTTGAAATGCTATGGTTAATCTTGAACATTAGAACACAAAATGCACTCATTTTGTCATGTATCAAGATGCCCTGACTGTAACTATTTCATTTAACTTACCAATACACATAATGTTGAATGTGAACCCATTCTGCACAGACTTTGTCACCAGCTGGTCAGGCAAGGAGTCAAAGCCAACATGTCCAGACAAATCCAGAGACCTAACCTGGTTCCCTCCAACAGCCTGCAAAACAGAAAATACATACTGTTCAGTGTTCACATGATGAAAATTTGTCAGCATAACATCCTACAGCATCCTGGTTTCAAAATAGTCAATGAAATCTTCTAGTTTAGTCAAGTAAAAAAGTTCAACCTTTAAGTTCCAGCAAGTCCACGAAATATGCTTATTACTGCATGCAATATCTGCATGTTTTTTAAATCATCTAAGCTTGAATTTTAATAGCTGATGTATCTCTAATGTTAAACCAAGCCATTTTACAAAGAATAACAGCCAAACTGAGCATCATCTTTGGGAAAATTCACACATGCATTAACTGCTAATTGTGTCATCATTTTCTCTTGGACCAGTTGACAGTACATTTTTAACCTGAATCCCCTTAAGCCCTTCCCTTGATCCTGTTTCCAGGGGATGTTAGCATGCCACTTTCCTAAAAAAAAAAAACATCTTTTAACTGGGAGATCCAGGAGTAATTTTTGCCAAAAACACCTGCACATTTCACCAACATGTCACAGGTGTAGCATTATTGCTATGTCAACTACATTTAAAAACATTTTGCAACAGACTTGGACTTGAAGCCTTATCTAAGCCCAAATCTTGCATCTACATAACTCATCCTGCTTTACTTCTACTCACTACCTCAGCTAATTGTAGCACAGAAGAACATGTGCATTATTCAAATATTACTGCGGGTAGGTCACCTGCAACATCAAATATACCACCAACTTGATCTGGGTATATGTCAAGTTTAGGTCCTAACTACAATTGTGGCGCTGTTGATACGAATATAAAACAGCAAAAATTTTAGGTTTTAGGTTAGGTTAGGTTGTAGGTTTGTAGGTTTTAGGTTGTAGTAGGTAGGTAAGTTTGTAGGTTAGGTTAGATTAGGGTAGGTTTGTAGGTTGTAGGTTGGTAGGTTATAGGTAAGTAGGTAAGGTTAGGTCAGGTTTGATTATGTTTTTTTCTTTTATTTGCGAGACATATGAGTATCATTTTTGGATTCAGGATGTCAAATAATGTAAAAATATGAAAAATTTATCAATGAAATCTTCTTAGGACTTAAACTTGACATGATCTGTCTGTGCAGGCACTCAGGGCTGAAACTGGGACGGTGAAAACAGGGCGCCTGGGGCAATTTGATCAAGGTTCGTGAAATTTATACATGACATCTCGCATGCAGAAGGCCCATGGAGGGGGAAAAATTCCAAATGTCATGTGACTAATATGCCCTCCGCCGCCCTGTTTTCACCGGCGTCCTGAAACTGGACTGATGATAAAATAAGAAACTTCAATGCGAGATAATTGGACAAATAGCTGCAAAAAGAGCATGTACCACATAGGTCAAGGTGCTCAGGCTGAGCAACTCTGACTCACCCTTGTTTTCTCCTTTTCTACTGGAGGCATTTTCAACAAAATCAACAACTGACGGCACCTCGACCTTCCCAAAAAATTACAATCCGTGTGATACACCCCCTCACTAGCCCACTGGCAGAAAGACAAACTTTTACAGAGACAGCCTCTGTCCCAACTTGAAAAATGAATCCACCGACTGCGCCCTATCTCCAAACTGTTTCATTCAAACAACGCATTGCAATTGCAACAGAACAATGAACTTCAGTAGGCGTTTCCGCGGCAAAAATGGTTGGGTTGTGCCAAGGTTGTGCTAGAAAGTAACAATTCAAAGTATAAGCATTTAATATGACGTCACAAAAACGAAAAGCTTGGACATTGATTGGATGTTCTCCTATGGGTCATTCCATAACTGCTAGCCGAAACTATGTTATTGTCGAAATAATCTATGACGTCAAAGCATTTATCTATTTTTGTTCAGTATTTTGTTCCAAAACTGGTGAAAGTTAGATAGAAATGACGTCGCTAAATTGTAAGCGCCAATAATAAGGTGAACATAAATCTAATAATTCTTGTAATTAAATCGATAAAGTCCGTCCTGCATGGCTGATGAATAAGTTGTGCAAAAATTCCAAATATTTATGACATTTAACAGAAACAAGACCGCTATTATGCGCAAATTTAGGTATTGAATGCCGACGACACCCCACCCCAAATCACTCAAAACCACTCGACTTCGCATTACGCATTGCGTGTCGCAGCAATTACTAAGTAGAAGATGACTATCCACATTTTCACAAAACTTTAAGCCCAAGCACACTCGCGTTGTAACGGGTCTGAAAGAAGATATATTTTCGGAGCCAGTTCTCATACAAGATTAGCTGGCCTTGCGGTTCAGCTGGGTTCAGCCGGAGCGAGCAACCGGAGCCAGACTCCCCGTACCCGCCCTACCGGTGTTTCACCGACGCTGCCAGCACACGTGGCAATTTGGGTTTCCATAGAAACATCAGCAAGCCCATAGCTCCAACGGCTCCAACACTACCACAAGTATGACGTCAGCTCGCGAAATACGCTGGCAGTGGCTGGCACTTGGTAGCGTGGTCGTGAAACACCGCCCGGCTACATTTGTGTGGTAGTGGTTCGAGTCTGGGAATACCGCAGCGCCCCGAACCCCCGGCCTTGGCCACCATTCTAACCGCCTTTCATGGCATGCCAGATAGCAGAGTCAGCACACGATCCTGAAAGCCCGTCCAGCGCAAGTGATCAATTGAATTCACAACAGACGCTGTGCGGATACCCTGATGGCCTTGTATTGAAGAGGTCGTCTGCACAAGCAGCTGTGGAGGGGGGCACGCGGTGACAAAGCTCTCAAAGGCACGGCCTACAGCGACCTAATCCTGATTGAAAGTTTGGGTCGGTATATGCACTTCCACAGTCTACGGTCTGTTGGGTTACATGACGCCTTTAAAAAGTACGCACAAAACACACCCGATGCTCATTCAAAGGGCGGGAGCCACACAACCGTTCGGCAGCTGTCATGATTGATTACTAGGCTGGAATGATCATTGAACAGCAGAATGCAGGGCGGTCCTATCTAATGAAAGCACTTTCAACTCGCAACACCGCTACATCGCTACCACACCTTTGTACTGGTCAAACACGAGGTCAAAAGCACACATCAGCACGTCAAGCGTCGCTCTACAGTCTACAGTCAGACGATCCTGGAAGCCGTCCTCAGGTACACACGTCGTTGGACAGAAGAGCACATTTTACAAATCCAAAGCAGAGGTGTTTTGGCTTCTTGGTACAGATGCACACGCGAAAAAATCAGCGGGGCAAAGTCGAAACGCACATCAGTGCTCTGAAGTCATCCTGAGATCAAATCAAACATTCAGAAGAAAACATACTACAAAAGACACTACAAAATAAAGAAAGGTTGCTAAAAGCGTAGTAGAGCAAGATTCCCCAAAACATTACAGCTGGGGTACAGCATCACATCATAGGCGCATATAAACATGAAAAGCACTATCAAGAGTGAAAGTCTTAATTTTAATTACTCAAAGTAACGATCATTCTGAATCAAACGCACCGGTCCTTCTGGACTAAAGCTTGACAAGAGTTTCTCTAATCATTTCCCTAAAACTTGTACGCTGTCTAGTAGATTATAAAAAACACCGGTTGTACGCGAAGTTTGATGTCACTCGTCTAACATTCACGAACAGCAGATGAAACAACCGTTCATCTCTTCTTCCAAATACGGCTACGTCCTACGAAATCGTGCTAGAAGACTGGCCGGATCATCCAGCTCCATGTCCAGCGACCATGAGGCACTGATTGCAGTTCGTCCGTCCTACCACCTCCCGCAGCTATTGATCGCGCGCGCGCGTGCCAGTGAGCGGCGTCGAAGGAGATTCACTAACTACAAGAAGGCTACAAACTACGTCTTCCATCAGGCATCGGCTAAGGCGGAGAAGCTGCGTGGAGCCATTCGGCCAGGCACACTTGCGGACACTGTACTCATTGTTCTAATGGAGCACAGAAGATGCCGCAGTGTACGTTGAACGGACTGACCGTCATCGCAGAGAGTGCCTTCTGAGGAGAGTGACCCGCCTCAGTGGAGAGCAGCAGGGGCGGCCATCCGTCTCAGTGGAGAGCAGCAGCGGCGGCCATGCCCTGATCGGGACCGACCGGTTCGTCGAGCGCCTTGCGCAGCAGGGTGAGCCAGTTGCGGACCGAGCTGTCCTCCAGACAGCCGTCGAACGTGTCGCCCTTCAGCTGGTCCGGCAGGACCGAGCGCAGCGCCTCACGTGCTCTGAAACAAGTGAGGGAATGGTGACACAGCTGGCAGGTAAGACGCGACTCACAACAGCGAGTAAAGACCGTGAACACATATTTGATGTGTCAGCAGTGACTTCCTGATATAAAATTCTACTCAATCGCTACACGGTACAGCATAGACCTCTGTACACAGAGGTCGACTAATGGGTACAGAAATATAATATAATGATTCAACGCATTGTTTTAATATACCAGCAACTGCGAACTTATCCAGATAAAAAGCGCAAACTTGAAAGCGAATTCAGGTAAGGCCAAAGACGATCACCCAAACGCTACCCAAGACGTACCTCTGGAAATTACTAAATAATGAAGACTGACGTTCCCGTAATTATGTTCGTTTTTTAGACACAGACAGTTACCTTCGAATGAGCCAGAGACGTTAGCCGAAATACCCGAGATCGGAATTAAGCATTGACTGGCCGAGAGCTGCTGCAGCTGACTGGAACCGACTCTCACCTCGGGTTGTCTGAGAGGCGCAGGTAGCAGCGAATGACGTGCTTCAGGAGGCGGGCCGACTTCTCCTTCTCCAGGTTGATGACCATGTTGCCCAGAGTGCGAGCCACATGGGAGAACCGTTCGTACGTCTGACAGACGTGCGACAGTCCTAAAAATGTCCGACCAGGTTATTGATAGAATTCGCGGGCTATTCAGATAAGATCGTATCATTTTGAATACCTCGTTGTAACCAGTTAGCACTGTGGACTGTTTCAGCCTTCAGGCTTCTTCCTCTAGGTCGAGTGACACACATTTCTGAGAATCTTACTACTTACCAGTGTCATCGCTGAGAATCTTTTGCAGGATGAAGGTGGCCACAGTCTTGCTGAGCTCCGTGCCGTGCTGCATGATTTGCAGGCACAGAGGGATGATCTCCGTGGTCAGCAGGAAGTCGATCACTTCGCGTTCATCCGTCTGGAAACGCAAGACACCCGGTTAGAATACGTCAATCTCAGTTAACCATAAAACGAAACCAGCAATAGCAATACAATTTTGAAGTTTGTAATGTAAGATTGTCGCCACATCAACGCATACCATGCACGATAGCCTAGCACTATCACGGAGTAAGTAATTCGTAAGCATGCTGAAACATAGATCGATCCACATTTAGCTGAACAGCTGTATTCCATTACGAAGTTATATGTGGTAATCACGTGCAATAACGTGAAACAAGTTTACATAAGGCCCGCATATCCAAAACGTCCATCTGCAAATGTTTTTAGTGTCCCTTACCTTGACCAGCGCGCCGATTACTCCGAGGCTCGTAAGCCGCAGGAACTCGAATGGCTGAGCCGTGCTGCTGGTGCTGAGGAACGGGTACAGGTACTGAGGAATCTGCGCCTGCAGGGACAATAAAACACGGTCATGAACGGTACACGACTGCACCGAATGTGGGAGCATATGAGTATAGAGTCGAGAAACAGGCAGGCGGCGTGGCATTGAAAGAGCCAACACGTGTGAATGAGATGAGAAAAAAACTAGTCGAATTGGGTAAACCGCACTTTGTATTCGTTGAATGTCAGACAAGTCACAATTTTACGGACTAGTCACGTCACTTCACACTTAGGAGACACCGAAAAAGACATACATATTTTTTCGCAAAACGTCACAAATACTAAAAGCATCGCATAACATGATCATGCAACGCAAAATCTAACAAAACCCACCACGAGCAGCTCTTTGCAGACTTACCGAGAGGAAGGGGGATCGTGTCTCGGGGTGGGAGGCGACGCACTGCAGCAGCGCCAGCGAGTTGCACACACGGTTGCTGTCCATGGCGGTGAGCGTCGGCGGGTGAATGAGGCCGTAGATGCTGACGATCTCGTGCAGCAGGGCGGTGATGGTGCCGCCCGAGTGCCACAGCATCGGCGCCAGGTCCGACACGGTCTGTGACAGATCATACACAGACCATAGATGAGATGGGAAAATAGGTGCACGAAACACAGTAAATAATGACGTGACCAATATAAACTGCACGATGCACTGTGCTTAAATTTGGTTTTCGTGTGGCCTAGTGTAAGGCGAGGTGGTGGCGCTGGCGAGGCGGGGAGCCATGTGGTAAGGCGAGGCGAGATTAGGTCAAGAGTGGAGAGAGAGAGGAGAGAGGAGAGGAGAGAGAGGTCCACACCGCCATGGACCCAGTGGACATCACCTTAGTTGGTTATAAATGCACAAATAGTGTTATCAGTTTTAATAGTACTTCAAACCTCATAAAATGATATGGATACTTAACACACAACATAGGTATATTAAAAAATGTTGTGTGTTACAACATATATTAAAAAAGTTGTAAAAAAAAAACATTTCAATCAAAGCAAATCAAGTAGGTAGTTAAGATACATTACCTCTCTCTTCTTGCTAAGTTGCTTCAGAGCTGCCTCTCTGGTTTCTTTATTTAAAATATTCTTAATCAGTTGAGTTATTTCTTCTGTATGAGTGTCTGCTGACATTGTTCTTCCTCTTGATAATGATGATTGAAACTATGGGCTGAATAGATCACAAGACAGTGTGAACTCTGATCAATACCTTGAACTACAACCTGAAATGAAAAATTGAAATATTCATCTAAGGGCAAAATCATTCACAAAATCAGCACAGCAAGTAATTATTGTATTAATTACTTGTATTTTGTATTAATTACTATTATAAGTATAGTAATTACAGCACCAAATAATTATTTAATCCATGCACACTGCACTTTGTATATTTCACAGCATGTAGGTATTAGTTTCTCTTCCAAAAATAGCCAATATCACCATATCATTATGGTTTGGCCCAAGGCAGTAGAGTTTGGCCCACATGCAAAATTTGCTCCATACAGAATCCATGCAAAACCATGGATGGTCTTAGCACAAAACTCTGCACTATCAGGGCCATGCACAGTGAAAAAATATGTACAGAGAATTAGCAATTGTTCATAATTTGTAATATATTTGATTTAAAAGCTACAAAAAGTAGAAATACATACATCAGCATACCTACTCATTGAACATCATTTACCTTCCATAAAATTATATAGCAATGGGCTAGGTGGATGCAGCACATAAATTTATTCACATCAGACTGGGGAAGGAATGGAAGGACCACCCTGAAAAGTTCAACTACAAGTTCTCATACTAATGATCATCGTGGCCATCAATGTATGGCCTCACCTAGCATGGCAGCCTACTCGTCTTCGTCAGAAGAAGAGGAGGCATCTCTTGAGTAAAGGGTCTGATTACTCGAAAGGGTACCCAATGACCTTTACTTAAGGTAAATACTTAAGATAAATACATCATGCTGATAAATTATAAAAATAGCATTTATATATGGTGTCCTAGCTTCAAGCACTTAGCACTTTGGTTTTATTTCCTCAGCAATGTTGTCCTTCAGCTCAGCCATGAGCCAGTTTCTGGGGTTTAGTAATTATTGAACATCTTCTAACAACAAAGAAGTCTGGTGCGTTTGATTCCATGACGGCTTTCACATGAGTCATGACTCATGAGTGACATAGGTAGGTACCTACATTTAACAAATGAAGCTGGACTAAGGACTACCCCAAGTATGCCCGGAAGCAGTCCATTTCATTCCTTTGACTTAGGGTGGTATTACTGACCTAAGACAAATATCAACCTGGCACAAATCTCATGCATCAGATACAGTCACAACTCCCATGCCACTTGCATTTGCTAGCAACCTGGTCCTGGGCGGTGTTCATAGGCGTGGGAGCCGGGGGGGGGGGGGCAGTGGGGGCAGCTTGCTCCCCCAACTCTGGGGCCGTGGGGGCGGTGCCCCCACAGCTTTAAGATGGAATACCACACTTTTTTTGCAAATGTTTTCTTTTTTGTTGAAAAAGCCGAGGGGTGAAAAATAAGTGGCCTAAAACCGGTGAGAAAACTAGATTTGGGGGTACGCTAGGTTAATCTCTATTATGGTGTGCCCCCCCAGTCGGAAAGTAGTTCCCGCGCCCCTGGCGGTGTTTCACGGCAGAGCTGCAGTGGCTGCGCATGTCAGTGCGTTACATTTTCATGGCAATATCAACAAACTTCACTGATGCTATGCTATGACGTCACTGCGAAGAGCTAGCGCACCACAGCGCTGCAGTGCCAGCAGAACAGAATGCTAACAGTATTTGACTTCAAACCTCTGTTCTTGGCCCTACTTGGATCTTTTGGACCTCTGTTCCAAACAAGATTTATTATAAGCTAACGAATCACACGCAACGTCATTAAACTTTCAAGTGACTATATGGTATGCCATAGCTCCTAGCGCGCTGCAGCCTCAGCCTGCAGCTCACGTAGCATAGGGATGGTGAAACAGGGCCCTGGCCATTTATTTATGAAAAGAAATTGAAATAGAGTATCTGAGGCTTGAGGAGCTGAGAGCTCTGGGTCCTGGGACATGAAACCTTGTATTTTAGGGTCCATAAGCGATAACCATAATTATCAAAGCCGTAATACTAATTTGCAGCACACCAGCCGAGCCCTAACCCTTTCAGCACCCCCTAAAGGATAATAAAGAACCACTCATGCCAATGAAACACACGTCTTCAACTCGTTTTTTCACAATACCACCTGTTCAATATCCTTTTACTCATTTGTGACGTCGTGTAATAAAATATTTTTTCAGCGCGCTCGAATGCATGCCGAACCAGTAACCATGGAAACTTAAGATGTTCGCAGCTCGCGCTCGCACCGTTGAATAGACTAGCAAAATGGAGGTAGGCAGCAGGATTACTTTACCAATAGTAGGGAGAAACTTTTAGGATTGAAGGGAATGAAGGGAATCGTTGGGACTGATTTTGTGAATGGAACGCATGTTTTCCACCCCTGAGGTTGAAACCAGATTTCAGGCAGTCCTGAAAACATATTCTTGTTCTCAACATTCAGAGTTGCTGATTGTTTTTTGGCCTCAGAAATTATTTCCGGTTTTCACATTAGGGATAATACTTCATTTGGAAGCACAAATGAGAACCCAAATATCCGCACCTGCTACATAACATGACTCCTCCCCCTTCCATATAGACTGCCAAAAGACGCCAGGCAAAGGCTGCCCTCGGATTCGTTCTCGCCCTCGCTCGGCACATCGCTTGGGTTCTTCTGTGGGGAAGGTAGGTGCGTATTTAAAGCTATCTATAAAATCCATTCCGTTTCGGATGTACTTTTCGGGGTTCGATACTTCTGCCCACTCAATCGATTATCTACATTGATTTGACGAAGCAGATAAAACCGGATTCCTGTGATATTGATCCCTTGTTACATAACCACCAGCATTGTTGAATGTTTTGTAGCTGTGAATCCTCTATGTGTTGGAATGTTTTGCTAAGCCTCAAATGAAAAAAGAAATGTCTTGCAAGGCATTTCCAGCATTTTTTCCAAATACAGATGCTTCTTGCTCTTGAAAAAGAATCAGGTTTTATGCATGGGCAGCTTAAAATGTAGGGTAGCCTGGGGCAAGACGCCCCAGATAATTTATTTTGCTACATAACTTTTATCCCACATAACCTGGAAGGCCAAATTTGTGCTCAATGCGTTCTATGGACATTTTACTTTAATTTCCACCCCTCAAATTCATTCACTTATGATCGGACTCCCAGCTTGGAAGTGGTTTGTGAAGCAACTGCAAATAGGGCGTTTTGCCCCAACCCCAGGGCAAAACGCCCCACGGCCTGGGGCAAGAAGCCCCATACTCTAGATTAAAGATTAAACATGCTAGTTGACTAAATCTTATGTGAAAGGTCCGTTGGACCTTGGGAGGCATGGCACTGAAGTTAGCACCTTCCATCCTATCAGGTGTTCAGCTACGACACTATTGTATGAGCAGGTTTTTCACCTGCCTCATAAGGCCAAATAATAAATCATTGCAATGCAAATGTTAACAAAATACTTCCTTTGCCATCCAGTTGCTGAGAAAAGTACATATAAATGCATAGAAACATACCGTTTGCCAGCTACCGAACGTTAGGAAGTGGGTAGTCCGAACAACACATGAGGTAAAACGCCCCATGGGGCTTTTTGCCCCGCGACCTACTGGGGCGTTTTACCCCATCACGTAGTTCGGTCAGAGAACAACGCCTTGCACTCCAGGAAGACATAATTTAACACGAACCAACCCGGCATTGTAAGCGTTAGACAATAGTTGTTCAAAATACATAAAAGTCGTTAACCTGATGTGGACGATAAAAGAACGCCATGATGCATAATCTGACAACAAAACATAAAAATCACTCAAAAAACACATTTTTGGCTATATCTCCCTAAAGAGTCATCACAATTTATTTCCAGTCTGCTCATATAATGATCGTATAGTGCACGTTTTATAGAAGAGAGGATGTTTCTCCAGAACCTTGCCAGTTCCGAGAAACATCGGTGAGGCGTTTTACCTCGGCGGGGCGACTTGCCCCGGTCTAGCCTATATAAATGAATCCATTCCATTCAAATTCATTTGAATTTAAATTTAATTTTTGTGTCATTTGGCAATAGTGTAACTCCATTTCCTCCTTTCCAGAAATCACCACCCATGTCATTCTTCTGTCTTTTGCAAGAGCTCTACAAAATAGCTGTTAAAGGTAGGTGTAGTGTACCTAACATTATGTAATAATAAGTGAAGGTTTCATTTTTTTAATTGATACAATGAAATCCAGTGTCCTGAATCTGTCTTAGAATTCATAACTAAACAAAGTTTCTATGTTTTAGGTCAGCAGCCAGGAGGCACAGTTCAGGCAGAGCTTCCTGGAGCTCTTGGCAAGACTTTCAACAGCAGCACCATTCAAGGACGAGCGAATGTAAGTGGCTGTTCTACCTAGTTTGATTAGATGAATCAATAAATATGAGTAAGAATGATCGAAAACACAGCAAAGTTTGGAAGATCTGAAGGAACAATGGCACAGGTATCATATTAACTGTTCAATGAAAGTCACGTCGATTTGATCGATCTCTTACCTAACTCCACACCAAAGTCGACTTCTTCTTTACACCGGAATATCCTTTGTTATCGTCCCTCACCATACTACCTAAAATTCACCATTATCAAGCATGGGCACCATGCCAACATCACTATCATTTTGGCCTCGCAGAACAGCTCACATTTCATAGCCTCTTCACCCGTCTTTGTGCCCGTCTGCATCCCGCAGGTGGCCCGTGCCACGCTGGGTCTGACGGCCGTCGTCGCGGTCGCCGCGGTGACGCTGGTGTCGCGAGGTCGCGGCTCGGCGGTGACGGCAGCTCCGTCATCAGCAGCCTCCGACCCCGCAGCGCCAGCGCAGCTCGACTAGTCGCCGCCGCCCTCGCAGTCCGTTCATAGTAGGTGTATTTACATATGGTCTGGGGATGTCGGAGCGGTGTGGATGACAATGAAGACGTGTCTTGTTGAATGCAGATTGTCTCATCTCTTGAGGAGCTTTTAAACTCATCGTGAAAATAGTGTCGTGCTGCAACTCAAATTAAGCCGTTGGGTTGTGGGTCGCTTCTGAAGAGCAATGACTCATCTCCTGAACTCCAGTCACCAACACCAAACAGTATCGCAATTGCAATGTGATTTTACTAGCACCTGAAATAGTGTGCATTATACCTTATCTTGTTCAGCCTATTTTCGACTTGATTTCAATGATGTCGATAACAGCTCTACGATAATAAAAGTTGATGATCATACTTGAGACACAAATATTTATACTTTGGATATATTGTATATTTATGTAACCTGACTTCGCGGTTCCATCACAGTTCACTGTACAATAAATCATAAAATGCCTTCAACACTGCCTTCCATAAGGAATGTTACAAATAGCCCAGCACCGTCATAGGCGTTAAGGGTATTAGCAAATACTTGTTACCATCATCACAATGAAGGCTAACTCTTTACAATCCTAGCAAGAACCTTCAACTCGCGTTCAGGACAATAACGATAAATGGAGCACGCATGCGCGGTAAAAATGCCCAAACATATGCCGTCTCTGCGAGCGTGGTTCTGATGACTGTGTTCTTGGCTGAGGAACAATAAACAAAAGCGCCTAGTCAGTGTGCTCGTTTTGCTGTGACTAAGTCCATGGCAATCGCTCCTCCTTCCTTCCAGCCGCTCTCTACTGGAGGGAAGGGATGTTGAAACGCACACTACCGTTTTCCGCCAGTGGAGCATGAAACAGCGTACCCGTTTTTTTTTTTTACAATTAGTAACATAGAACACTACCAGCTATACATCTGGTCTTCGCATGTGTGGTAAATTTATGGTAAGGTCATCGGTTTTTTTTCTGAGCTGCACCGTGGTATTGCGATTTTGCTCCGCCGCTGACAAGAAATTCTTTATTCTTTCCTATGATTAAAGCAACAAACAACGGAACAATGCACAAAAAAGAGCACAACTGTAAATGATTGCATAAGCTGTTGAGGCCATTGGGCTTTTGTGCCCAATGGCCTCAACTCAACTCTCGTGCGTTATTGGACTGTGAAAAATGGAAATGATAAAATACCTACATGTTTTTAAAGTACACACCATTTACGTGATGCTACGTGGACACGCCTACAAGACAACGGGATAAGGTTCTCGTCTTGTAAATGTCCTAACGTTGTACCACATTTAAGAATGAGAATGTCCATTGCGCATTGCGCTATTTTTCACGGGCATGCTTCTTACTTAGGAACTGGACAATAATCGAAAAGGGCATGCCACCAACTGGAAAATTATTCTTCCGGCTTAGTCGCACATACTTGCAGATCAAAGCTGTCACGTCCACTATAAAATACCAACAGCCAAGCTCTGCCGAAACCGGCGACAACCAGTAGCACAATCACCGTCCTCGGTTGTAGACTTCTCACAACACAGCGGTACCGGGCGGGCGGTTCTCATACCTGTAGATTCACTCGTCTCCAGCAGATGGCAGGGCGACGGCACTGTTTTGTGGCTCGCCCGTTGGTCATCGCACTACGATGAAGGAACTTGGAGGGCCTGCGCCTCTCTGAGCGCCTCCACGCCCCGGTGAAGGGTGCACACTCGCGGGAAGCCCAGAGCCAGCAGCCCCTCCGACGTCTGTGCGAGAAAGTCAGAGCGTCAGAAAAGCACATAGCTGTAAGAGCCAGTCATGATTGGGAACAGACACTTTGCGCAGTCATGATTGGGGACAGACACTTTGCGTTAATGAAACTGTTGCCAATTAATGGCAAATGCATGACGGCTGTACCGGACAAAATCTATATTACTATTTGAGGAGGGTGCGTCTGTCCGTTACCGAGGTCCCGACTTGGTGCTGCTTTGCGTGGACTACAGGCCAGACCGTTGCACTTAGCCCGGTGAAATTTCCACAATTTATAGATCAAGGATGCGCGACGTGCCTTTGAGGGGTCTGGGCTCGATCGGGTCGATAGGGAGCGCGTGGCGCGTGCACAAAAAGTGCAAATTCGCGTCATAGACTTTACATGTATAAATCGGCGTGCGAAATCGGGCGAAAACGGCTAATTTTGGCCGACACGGGTCCAGTTCCCGTGCAATATCTCGGTGACCAGGGGTCCGACCGGCACGGGGAAAACAGCATCGTGTAGATAATTGAATGGGCAATGGAATCGTGTGCGATACAGAGGATAGCACGCGCCACGTGCACCGGGGAGGGCACTTTTGTTGAAAAATTGCGGTTTTTGGCGGATTTTGGAATTGATTTTATTTTTAGGTGACCGTTAAACAGGGCGAGTTGGAACAACGCCTGTTGGCAAGAGAAATGTACCGCCTATCATATAAAAATTGTGAAAAGCTGATTGATCCAAATCAAGGTGGTACAAATCACGGGAGAAAATGGTGTTTGTCAATTTTGTGTCACTTTGTTCATCAAAATGGCTTTGCTCCATGATCTGATGTATCTGGCAATCAAAAATGGCACCGTTGGAAAGAGCATTCAATTCTGACCAAGGTTAGGTCTTCATTTTTGCATGATGAGCAACAGTATTCTTAAAAACGTAAATTTTCCAAACCATTGCATCGTCATTTTTAGCGAAATTCATCGATGGCCCTCAAAAGACTTCACGCCAGTTTTCGAATCATTCTAAAGTAGAACGCATGATAATACGACACGGGCACCTCGATGCGATGTATCTTTTTGTTTCTTACAAAATGCTTGGCCGTCAAAAAGCAATCGAACGAAATGGATATCTACCAACCAAATCGACACAGACCAACCCAATACCCACGGGTCAAAAAATCCCCCCTTCGCGTTGCGGAGCACGCGGGTAACCCTAGTAACAAACCATTAGCAGTGAAAAGGGTGGCTCGAAGACAGTGCTGCAAAGAGTCAATACCCCAAATCATTATGCATAGCCGGTGAGAGCTTTGTCAAAGCGCCACCTATGCCCACCGATCGTACCTGTTTGACGGCTGCGGCGTTTCGTCCTCCGACCACACACATGACCTGTCCTTTGGCGGCGCGGACGGCGTTGGCGGCCGGCCCGGGCACCAGCTGGCCGTCCTCTGTGAGCAGAGAGCCGGGAGGCGCGTGCACGGCACCCGGGAAACAGCCGCGCTGGAAACTGGTGACGAAGCGCTCAGGAAATTGGCAGAACAAAAGAGGTGACATATCTGACGGATCACTGAACACTAAGTAAAATATGCATCCAGTTGTTGCTAATATCCGTACACCTGCGTACATTATTATTGCGGCTTCGTCAAAATAGTTACCAACGTGTGGGAAAAACGCCCAGGCCCGATCTTGTTTTATCTCTTTTTATAACTCCTCGAACTGTTCCCTAAAACATACACCTAAGTTGGGTCTTCGCTGAGTGGATTAATGAGATTCTGATAGAACCAAATATATCTACCAGTATGAGGCAGTTCAGGCCGTAGCGTCAGTAATAAGTAACAACTGTAGTCTGTAGGTTGGGTTTCCGTCATGGAAATATAACAAGTTATAAGTAAGGCTCCGCGATTTAGTCATTTTTTTTAAATAGAAAAACGTAACAATAAAAGCCATCGCCCACTTGAAACCTCCCAACACCGTCACGTAATAAAAGGATACTCGTCGGCGGGCCGGACGTCCAGGACGCACACCTGGCTGGGGCCGGGCCGGCGGCTCCACTCGATCAGTTCGGCGGCGGCCAGTCGGGGCAGCCGCAGCTGGCGCAGTTCGGCCAGCGGCAGCGGCGGCCCCTCCAGCCGGCCCGGGCGGCTGTGCTCCGACGGCGGCGCGTGCTCCCGGTGCAGCACCGAGCGGGGCGTCAGCGCCTGTACGCGCAGCGACTCCACCACCACCGCCTCCATGTTGATGTCTGTGGCGGGAGCGGGGAGCGGGCAGATAAGCATCACAGATAGATATTTATATAGTACATTGCTTTGAACAGTTGTACCAAAATATGTGCTGAGTCGGAGGTTGTGGTGAACCAATCACCCGGCCTCCGGACCGATTTTTCACGAGTTGTGAAGTGTTTCATTAATCGTATTTCACTCTAGTCCAGCACTGACAGAACTTTATGTCTGGCCCACGCACGAGCTGGAAGTCTATCCCCTTTTACACCTGGTTGTGGCGACAGTACTGAAGCGGGCAAAAATACTGAACATATTTTACATGCGTAACGCCTATACTTCGGCTAACCTGGCATGTCTGAGAAGAGCAGGATGCACTCGTTGAAGCCGAACTGCAGCAGTCGGTCCCTCAGCTGCTGCAGGATGGCCACGCCGACACACAGCGGAAACCCAGAGTCCTCCAGAAGCAGCGCGTCCCACAGGTGGAATATCTTGTGCAGCGGGAACACGTCTGAAAACGAAAGGCAGAACGGTGGAAAAACATGTTCAGAAAGATCTTCATCGCTTTCGAAACACACTGAATGATTATCACCGTAGGTGGGAACATGTTATTGCTATCATGTTATAAAATGATAGCAATGTGAGGGAGATATCGGAGGGCCGACACCTCGTCGCTTTTGCTTTCCCGCGGAGTAGGCCACACCCATCGGATGTAGCCCTATTAATTCAGTGGAGGGACGCCTCAGTTAATCAGGCTGCTCGGCAGGTCATAGGGCGAAGCGAGACGAGCCACTCTTGCCATCCCCTCGACTGGTGGGAGCAGCCGTATTGCCGATAGTGTCGTGTTCTATTGCTAAGGCCCAGCCAAACACGCAGTCCGAACATGCCCCGATAGACATCGTCTGGTTGGCCATAGCACTACAGCAGTGGCACAGGCTAGTCATTACCATATCCGACGCCGTGTTACCCGGGCCTTTAGCGTGTCGTTTAGTCAAGCAGGAGGGGTGTAATACTCGAGTATGAATGTCACACCTGTGTCGCGAGCTAATGCTTATGTCATATTTCCTGCGAACGATCTGAATCTCATCTTTAAATACAGCGACTACAGCTTGCCATCGGTCTGAGTACAGAGGCCCGGCAGCAATAGTAAGTCGCCAACAGCGGCGATAGCACTAGGGGCGCCTCATTAATACGGCGACAATACCCGCTCCATCGTGTCCAACACAGTTTAGTGAGACTAAAGCCTTGCCGAGACTGGTGCGGCACGGTCACCTGGAGTCGTTCGCATGTAAGTTAGCGATAGCTGTCTCTGGGGTGATGTCATAGGGTAACAGGTTGTCGCTTAGACCTGTGTATTACAGCGTGGGCGTGCCAGCACTGGGAGCGGATAATAGGTAGGTGGAGCGGGCTGTGGGCTTTCCTAGATGATAGTGACGGCGTAGTAAGTGGACCTTCCTCTGGGCGTGCCTGGATTTGCTGTAACACCTCACCAGCTGACGCACAGTGGATGACAAAAAAGTCATTACATGCACCGAAAGCAGCTGTTTCTGTGGTCACAAGCGTAGCAGCGCCACTACAACCCTTCGGATCAGATGATTGAAAAGTAAAAGTCCAACAGATCTTACGTTAAGCTGAGATGAAGGATAAGGGTTGACGTCTGCCAGCTGTTACTAACTTGCGGTGACAAGGACCATAACAAAGAATCTATACTGATAAATCATTAGCATTACTCCTATGTAACACTTATAAGTACTTACGCGTGAACATGGTGAGGAACCACGGGATGGCGTACAACTCCGGCACGAAGCCGGTCTGGGTCAGGTGCTGGCCCAGCAGGGGGTCGACGAACGCCGTCAGAAGGCCGAACACGGCAAGGTACTCCTGAATCACCGCCGCGTTGTCCTTCAGGAAGAAGTCGTGCAGATATTTGGTGATGAAGGCGGATAGACTGGCGTACGCCAGCGCTGTGGGAGGGGTGAACATGGTCAGACGTGGCTCTTGACATTACGGTACCTAGTCTACCTGGTGATAGTGGTTAGATCTGGACGGTTGTGGGTGGCAGAAGTGCGTCATTTTGTTTGCTTACCAGCGTCATGTTATTGTAGCACTAGCATACGTGCCAAAATACGGACGGAGATGTCTCGTTTTTTGCTTTGGATATACAGATTATCCCGTTTAAGCTCAGCAATCGATATTCAGAAGTTGTCTACCACGTCAAATCGCCGATTATTTAAACGGGGTAAAACAGGATGACCTGGTCCCGCTCCGCTACCTTCGTTGTTGAAGTTGAGGTAGACGAGCGGCGCGGCCAGCGAGTCCAGTCCCTGCCAGTAGACGTACTGCGGGTGGGTGACCACCCAGGCCTTCAGCACCCGCTGCAGCTTTCGGTGGCCGGCCGGGGACGAGAGGAGCTCGTCATACTGGTGACACCGCGGGATGTCCACCTCGATCTGACGGCAGAACAGAGAAGGGCGTGGTTAGACGTGCGACTCTTCGCTTACTGACAGAAATGAGCATCGCCGGCGCAGTCAGACGTTCGACAGCTGTTGCTATCGAAAACGGAAAAAGTATTTTATGGTCACCCATACGGTAAAGACCTTCGACTTCGCAACTTCAAATAAGAGGGAAGCGCATTAGCATGCGACCAGCCAATGGCGCGCTCATTATCATCGGCGAATCGATACTGTGAATCGATACTGCAAGGAAATGCCGGCTCTATACGCTTTCCCTTCTGCAGCACGGCTCTGCCTGATCCGTCAATTCGCGCGTCTGGTCGTTCTAACCTTCAGCAGATCTAACTTGCCTCTCTACGGATCCGTCAGCGACATCTCCCTATCCTAGCACCGCTCACCTGTCTGTCTGTGGGTTTGAACGTCAGCTTCTGTGTACCTTAATTGTAGTCAATATCCTTACCTGTCTGTCGGCGGGTATGGCCCGTCTGCTGGTGCGACTTTGGTCGGTGTTCCTCACCTGTCTGTCGGTGGGTATAGCCGTCAGTTTGTCGATGGCGTCGTAGCGGCTCTGCAGGAGGCCCGTGACGCGCAGCAGGGCCGCCCAGCCGTGGGCCCGGTACAGCGGCGGGGTGTCCGTGCGGGCCTCCTCCTCCAGTCGGCCGGACAGGAACGGGTACACCTGGGGTCAGAACGATTACTAGTCAGATGCACGGGATCATAGGAGTGGTCAGTGGTCACTGGCCAGATGCGTGTTCAGGGGAACGGTTGCTGGACCCGTGGTTTGAATCAGCGGACAGATGTCACAATTTCAGCTTTTTTAGACGAAACTGCCACCAATCACGGAAAAACTACGACTGGAATCATTACCAACACCACTTGATCGGGAAGTGTTACAATGCAGTAAAGACCAAACATGTCGATTAATTGATACCTGGTAGATAAACACAAAGGCTCAGATGCAATTTTACCAGCTGTTTGTCAATTGACGCAAAACACTGATATCAGCTGCTCCATAAAATAAAAGCAAAAAGGGGATAAAGATGACAGCAAAACACCTGTCGACATCGCCCAAACCACTTGAAGACCTGTGCGGTCACACGCTCAAAGCGACCATTGGTGAAACGTGCCTGTATCTCCCGCGACCCCAATGATAGGGCGTCGATAGCTCTGCAGCGCAACAGGTCTCTCGGCCGACTAACAAGTAACAACCTCGCAGATATGCTCTCGTGTCAGTCCGAGGATACGGTAGTGGGGCTTTAGTGTGCGTGAGCGCTACACCTGTGTATAAAGGACGGTTGTTGCTATGATGTTGCTGTGGCTGCTGAACGGAATACTGCTCGGTAAGGCGCTATTTTGTAATTAAACGGTGCAGAAACATGTACCACAGTGTGTGAAATACGATCTAACGCAATTCATTTACGACAGAAGAAAGTGGTTTACGATTCATTTGACTGGATACAAAAACGTTTGGTACTCCTGGCCATTCATGTATACAGGTGAGCTGATAATCCTTCCAAAAGCCCAGCCAAGTGGTTATCGGTAACAAAAGACAGTTTCAGCATATGCATGAACCGTATCGCTGTTACTCCTAATGTAAGCCTGCAGGTCAGCCCCGTTCATTAGTTGCTGTGTTCGTTTGTTTCAGGAGCAATATCCCTGCTAGCCCTCGCCTGTATTCAGATCAGCTCCGTTCGAAAGTCGCCGTACCACACGTTCGCAAGCATGGTGAAACAGTACGCTACACAGAAGCTGCTGGCCTTTGTGGCCAGATATATGAGGAGGAGGTTCGACAGGGACACCAAACACTTCATGAAAGTGAGTCGACCGAAACAGTGTGTGGAGCTCGCAACGTGTAGCCAGTGTTCGTGTAACCGCGTCCTCCGAGACTCGGGAGTGGGGGCTCAAAACTCAGAAGCGTTTCTTATCAAGAAGACAACCAAACAACGATCCCATTAACCTTAACTGAAATAGTTATTCATTCAAGCATTAAGTTGAAAAAGTTACAAGTACTTAGTACACCAGTATTGTACCCTAATTGCAGCTTGTCCATCGTGAGTGCACCGATTACTGGAACACGTTGCACTGACATTAGACGGGTTGCCATATTAATTTGATCTCTTTCTAATGATCAACAGTGTCAGGAGCAGACCCTTTTGGAGCGTCTCCGCGCCAGCCGAGACTCGGCGTACGGCCGCGACCACAACCTGAGCGGCATCACCAGTCTGGCTGCGTTCCGTTCCTCGCATCCGGTCACCGAGTACGGCCACTACGACGGCTACGTCCGCCGGCTGGCCGACGGCGAGCGGGACGTACTCTTCACCGGCCCGCCGCGGTCACTGGCCTGCACCTCGGGCACATCAGGCGGCAGTAAACTGATGCCAGTCACCAGCAGTCTGGTGGTGAACCTGGTCAGCGGCGTACTGCTGCTCTTGGACCGGCAGCTGGTCGCCTTCCCCGGCGCCGGCCGCCTGCAGCGCCAGATGCGACCGGTGGTGGCGCCCCGCTGGCGGTACTCGCCTGGCGGACTGCCCATCGGACCCGCCTCAGTCGCGCCTCCCGGACAGAAAGACGGCCGTGAACACACTCAGTTTCTGTACAGCTCCCCACCAGCGGCTAACGACATCCCAGCTGAACCGGCCGCCGTGTATGTGCACCTGCTATTCGGCCTGAGAGACCGAGAGCTGGGCGCCATCGAGGCCAACTTCGCATCGTTTGTCTACTCCGTGTTCTCAGCGCTCGAGAGGGACTGGCAGCGCCTGGCCCGAGATCTGGCTGCTGGCAGGCTCGGAAAGGACGTCGAAGTACCCGACTCCGTACGAACCGCGTGTGACGCCGCTCTCAGCCCCGAGCCGGCCCGCGCCGCTGAGCTGAGGGAGATCTTTGAGTCGGAGGACGCCTTCCGGGACGGTCGTCTGGCGCGACGCGTGTGGCCTCATCTCAACTTCATCACGACCGTGACCTCTGGAGCGATGCAGCTGTACGCCGCGCGACTCCAGCGCCGGTACACCGGCCAGGTGCCGCTCTACAGTGCGCTCTATGCCGCCACTGAGGGTCTGCTCGGTGTCAACCTCTGGCCTGAAGAGTCCCAACCGCGCTATGTGCTCCACCCGCGAGCCATGCTGTTCGAGTTCGGCGAGACGGCTGGGACAGACGGCGACAAGATCCTGCTGGCGTCTGAGCTGGAGGTTGGCGGCGAGTACGAGCTGATCGTCACCAACCGGTCCGGCATGTTCAGGTTCCGCATGGGCGACGTGGTGCGGGTTGTGGACTTCTACAACGGCGCACCGATCGTCGAATTCCTGTATAGGTGAGTTCCGGTGACGCTGAACTTGGACTACTACACAGAGAGGGACTACCATCAGACGAATTACCCCAAAAAGTGCCTTGTCAGCATCGTACTTATGTCCACTGGTGCAAATCACGTGGTGATGATTGCTGATGTTGCTGAATAGCGAAAAGAACCAGAACATTGTCACGGCTTCTAACCTTCTTCAGTTTGAAGTTGTTTGCCAATTTGCTTACATCGGCTATCCCATTTATCGCCACTGTGGCTAATTTGGAACTTCTGGCGTCAGATTTACCATAGCCAGTCACCAACGTCATAGCTCTAGCGTCAAATTTAGCCAATTAACGACGTCTGGCCTTCATTGCTTCAAACAACCTCCTCCCACTCCCACCCGTTTCAGAAAGGGCCAGCTGCTGGACGTCCACTCGGAGAAGATGTCCGAGGCGGCGTTTTTCGGAGCGCTGCGGTCAGCGGCTGACGGCTGGAGTTCTACGCTGGTGGACTACACCACAGCGGAGAGCGTACTGCTGGCTGGGGCGGCCGACAATCCGCCTCACTACGTGGTACTGCTGGAGCTGAATGGAGCGCCGCTCACAGACGACGAGAGGCAGAAGGTAGGACGGCATAGACCCGTGGGGACAGGTCGAGCTACATTCGCAGAGCTTACTCAGTCCTAGTGTATTGGACCGAAGCTAAAAAAGGTCTAGCTGGGTGTCACTTATTTGTGTAAAGTGTGTTTGATGGAAGCACGGTAGTTGATGAAGTGGATAACGCCGAATAATTGTCAGAAAATTCGAGTCAATCGGTGTCTCTCTGACCTTGACATTTCTTGTTCCGAATTGGGGCGACCGTATTGCTCTCAGTTTCTGAATCGAGCTCCTCTCTCGGCAGGTGGACGAGTCACTATGCGCCCACCACGAGGTGTACCGCTCGTTCCGCGCCAAGGCGGCCATCGGGCCTGCCCAGGTGGTGTGCCTCCGACCGGGTGCGTTCGAGCGGCTCCGACAACACGTGCTGGCCAACTCAGACACGAGCGCGCTGCAGTTCAAGGTGCCCCGCGTACTGCGGACAGAGAGCCTGCTACAGCTGATGTTGGAGGAGCGACACCAAGACGATTTGGAGAAGCAGCGACAAACGGCGACGACGTGAGATAAACTCAGGGGTGCAGGGTCAACGGCGCCATATACTCCATCTCAAACGTTTGGACCGCTCAGAAAGACGACTATAATTTAGCATCATCCGCGGGTGCTCAGGGGTGTTTCAACAGAACCTGTTTCATAATGGTCCGATAGCAAGATGTTGATGGAGGCATCAGGTTTTATATTTATATTTTGCCGGAGCTTACTGTGCATCCGTGTTGTGAAGCAAATGTTAAGAAAAACGGTATTCATAAGGACGTACGGACGGAGGTATGCAACAGAAACTTAATGTTTGTGTTTTTTATATATCCACACAAATATCGGCGAATTTTTCCTGTCCGACTACCGAATTGTCGTACCTCTAGCATACCTCTACAACAAATGCTCTCAGGATAGTGAATGTTGTGTGTATGTTTGTGCAACCGTTCTTCGGTTCCTGCCTGGAAAATAAACAGCAACGACGAATACACGCTGAAAAAAGTGTAGCTTCAGTGCATGTAATTTCGTGCTGCATGGTTTTGGGAGAAAAGTTACAGGCATTCATTGGCCAGCTTTCTCAGGGCCAGCTTTCTCAGGGTTGTTTAATAAGCATTGTAAAGACGATGCGGTGGGTTTGAGAGGGTCGGTGTGACTTGAAAAGAACAGACACAATACGACCGTGAAACCTGAGAGCGCCGGGGACCAAGCCGAGCTGTTCAGTAGGTACCTGTGTCAGCCGGCTGAAGAGTGTGATCCGGTGCAGCTGGTACTCGATGTCGGACTCACGGATCACCAGCGGCAGCTGAGCGGTCTCCTGCAATTCCATCTGACTTTGGCTGTGCAGCACCGGGCCCATCCTAGAGGAGCACACAGCCTTAGTCAATGACAGCGTATGCCACACAAACAAACCTAGCCTGCATGCGCACAGCAGCTGGACCACTGCAATGAGCAATCAACGACAGGTCGCTCCCCTCCTGTAGACGGACCCACGCTGGACGGCTGCAGGGCCTCACAAAGACTTATCGCGCTCTCTCCCACAGATCGACCCTCCAGGGCGAGCTCCGGGCGGTCAGCGACGGACCTCATTCCACTGGTGGATCATAGGACAACTTATTTGAGCGGGTTACATGGCCAGACATTGTCTAATCTTGCAGTCCAACCAAGTATGGAAAACAACAGACAAGAGGCGCGTTATGAAACGGTACTTTTCTATTAGTCCATTTTTTTTCGAATTGCTCGCAAGTCGCAACACGGAGCTCGTTCTCCAAAATAAATGCCAACAACGTTGAATCTATTTAATTGTGAAATGCAAACAACCACAATAACGTGTTGGATGATTTTACATAAGTGTCAGATGACGTTTAGTTAACCACTTTACATAAAACATGACAGGACAACGGGTTCCGGATTATGACACGGCTCAAATTACTGTTCATAAATACAGCATCGCATGCCGCTGATTTCAATGTTCCTTTACGGGCTTACTGATTAACGGGCAGCAGAGTGTTGCGTAACTCGGGCCTCATCAACCGTTATTGATGACGTGAATAAAAGACGTGATATTTCTAATTCCACTGACGTTCTCAGAACCAATTGCTGTAACCTGAGTGAGCACTTGAGCAGTGGTCGCAATGTCGCTTTACTGATGTCAACCGGCAGCTAGGAAGGCCTGACTGGCGTCATTTTAGCAACAACTATGTATAGTTACAATGTATGTTTTCGAGAAGGCGATGGGTCGCTCTTATACCGCCATTAAGCTCGCGACCTACAGTGCCGGCTTTCTCCCAGAGCGTTTAGGAAGAGCTGCAATCATTCCCAGGTATGCACCGACCGTTGGTCCGTACCCGAGCTATCTACCGAAATACTACCGCCATTACCTGTGGATACTGACCGTTCCTCTAGCAGCGTGTGGATTCCTGCCACTGTTTTATTGTAGAAACTGACCGTTTCATGAGCAATGGGTGGTTTTCTGTCACTATTTTATTGTGGACACTGACCGTTTCACGAGCTATGGGTGGTTTTCTGTCAGTTGTCACTATTTTATTGTAGAAACTGGCCGTTTCACGAGCAGTGAGTGGTTTTCTCTCACTGTTCTATTTACGTACTGACCGTTTCTCTACAGCAGCAGCGGGTAGATTCCTGTCATTATTTTATTGTGGACACTGTCTCACACTGACCGTTTCTCTAGCAGCGGGTAGAAGGCGGCGGCAGTGACATCCGACAGCCGGCGCAGTAGCGGCTCCAGGGGCAGCGCTATCTCGCTGGGGTCGTACAGGGTGTCTCGGTCGCGGCGAACACCGAACGTCTCACCCTCCAGGGTCACCACACTGTGAAGGCACAGACAGACAGCTGAACGCTAAATGGATAATATAGTCAACAGAGCTGAGATATACAAAAACACACAGGTGTAGACCAGCCCGATAGGAAGAAGAAGGTCATTTTACATATTTCCCATACAATCATGATATCAGAAAATTCGGTCGACGAGGTAATGTAAAATAGAGCACGGTAATAAAATCCCAGTCCGCTGGCGAAATTGGCAACCCGATCATATCACAACATCCGGGGCACGGGTCTTCTGTGAAACGGTCTAAGCCGATGCAGCTGCACTGAACCGCGTTTTTGTTCTGTGCTTAAGCGCATATCAATGCAGGGTTCAATAGCACGAAACTCGACGGAAATTAGTATGGAGCTATCGATTCGATTGCACCCATCAAAATGACATGTCGGTGTCAGATCAGACCAAACATGGAATCAGTCCATCCCACGCTAATTCGCACCCAACGGCTCAACGTAACGGGGCACGTCACGGCGCCGGAAATAAAGCGGGGTCATGGGTAATACCCCATTACCAGCTAAGACAAGACGCATTGGAACACTTGGCTTCTTTTTAGATTAGAGCATTCATCAGCTACCGCTTCTCTCCCCCTTACTCCCTCCCCATGCACACTATGACCAACGCCTAACAGAACCCTCCACGCGACATTACGCTCTCCCTCCCTCTCCCTACACCGCCACTCACTTCGGCACGGTGAGGATGGGCGGCTTTCCCTTGACGCGTCCCTGGTTCCTCAGTTCGGCCTCCAGGTCCCCTCCAGCCAGCCGCCACAAATGGTACACCTCCGTCAGAGGACGAGTCCGGAGGTGTGCCTCCACTCCGGCCCCCTCCGAGCCGGAGTCGGCCGCTTCGTCCTCACCAACTGGAGAGTCGAACATCAGCGGAAAGGGTTGGAGTAGGCGGCTGGCCGGCGGCGGCGAGCGGCCAGAGAAGACTCGATGGGACAGCAGGTCGGAGACGGATGGTCGAGCCGCCGGGTCTGGCGTCAGACACTGGCGTAGGAGGTCGACCAGGTCTTCTGGTAACGACTGTGGGAGTGATGGACAGATGGATAAAGTCAGAGAGACCGACAAACAGGCAAACACTGGCGCAATAGGTCGGCCAGGTCTTTCAGTAACGACTGTGAGGACAAAAATCAGATGGACGGTATCAGACAGAGATAATATCAGACAGAGAGATATCAGAGAGATAGACAGAGAGACAGAGATAAGGATAGACAGAGAGACATTCAGACACTGGTGCAACAGGTCGGCCAGGTCCTCCAGTAATGAATGAACGACGGACAGGTCGCGCACAAAGTCATATTGGCTTAGTAGGTACCTTTATCATGAAACATGCATTATCTTCATTGCACTTCAACCAACAGCCTTTCAAGCTCACTTGTGGTCAGCATCTCAGTCAGCTCGCCTGCCCCATCCGGCCGTGCCTCTCACCTTCAACTGGGTGCGAGCCTGTGCGTCGTCAGCCAGCTCCGTCAGCACGTCTGAGCTGTTCATTAGCCGGAACACACGCATCACCTCCTGAGCAACGTCCCGGCGCGGCCAGTGCCGGCCGGCCAGCGCGGCGCGCGACAGCACCATGCCCGCCGACCACACGTCGCTCTTGGCACCCGACCGGAACTCAGTAGTCAGACCGGAAGCCAGCACTTCCGGCGCCAGGTAGGCCACGTCCCTGTGAGTGGAGAGGGCGCGCGGGAGAGGGGTACAGTCAGCACCACACGATAGAACGGCGCCAGCGGCCCCGCACACGACCTGATATCGACTGTAACGCACTCGAGTAGGTGCGAGCAATTGGTCAGGTCACTGCAAGGTGTGCCGATGCCCAGGATCATTCGATAATCGGTCATTAATCGCGATAAAAAACATGGATCACACCTTGCTTTGTGCATTGTGCTCAAGTTTCAGCTATGGCCTGTTTGGAGTTGGTGGGATTAGTGAGTGAGTTGCATTACTGCGCTCAAACGCCACTCACCCGATGGGGAAGGCCACGAGCTCGCCGTCCCTGGTCATGTAGTAGAGGCCGTACTGGGACAGCTTGACGGCGCCGTCGGCAGCCAGACGGACGGTGCTGGTGCTCAGGTTACGCACCACCACCTGGTGCTGGTGCAGGTGGTGTAGTGCCTGCAGCAGCTCCCAGGCGAGCCGCACGGTATCCAGCGGCGAGCCCGCGGCCAGAGCGTCGGCCACGCAGTGACCGTAGCGCTCTGATACCACCATCAGACGCTCTGACAAAAACACAGAGCGAGAAATCCCATTCAGAGCATGACAATCACATCATGATTAACCATTGTGTTTCAAAATAGAGCTATTGATTGGACAACAAGACACAACTTTGACATTCTCTAAAAGCATCATTTAAAGCAATCACAGCTGAAGAGTGTAATAATTACCTAGCAAAAGAAGGCATGCTTCAGAAAATGGCTCAGTACCATATGCTTACATCCTTCCATGACAAGGGCAACACTACACTTACAACAATATGTATTTGCCTATGTACACCAAATAATTTATTATAAAGAAGAAAGAGGCATCACACACCCCAAGGTGGTTGAAACTTACCATGTTTCCCACGACAGATATCCACATATTGGCATATATTGGGGTGTTTCAGTGTTTTAAGGTACTGAAACTCGCCAAGAATCTGGATGGAATTGGGAGTCAGTGGCAGCCCGTTCATGCCACATGATTCATTTGGATGAGCTGAAGCAAAAAAGGTGCAGATGCCAAGGCCAGCACCACCCATGGGCTCCATGGTTCACCTGCAAACAGAATGGCACATCAGTGTGAAGAGTACTGTTTCCACTGCCCACTGGCCTGTACATTTTCAACAACATTTCATTCTCAAGCTTGAGATAAACAGAGCTTTCTAATTAAAAAATGGAGCACTTGTAACCATATAATACAGAGGAGGGTGGCTTAGATACTTAGTATATTGTGTAAAATTCATAGTCCCTAGTTATTACCCTGCATACCTTAGAAGAAGCAATATATTGTGCTACCGCATGCATTAATGTGTTATTGTTATTAATAATTGTGTTTGCCTGTTTCATAGGTACTCTTATAAGGATTTTGCCACATGCAGTGGGGAGGGTATATTACATGAACCCTGTGCAATGGCCATCATTTATCAATCATCTTTTGCTTGAGACACTGGCAGATCCAAGGGGGCATTCCCCTCACAACATCTGAAATTGATGGAAATTTGTGGTTTAGCAAGAATAAACAGAAACTTAGCAACTTTTGTTAGGAAAACTTTGTTTCATATGCACAGCAATGCGTAAGGAATCAAGATCTGATGAGTTTTTGGAATTTGGAAACTTGTTTGGATGCTCCACCCGCAGACCGCAGTGTCCAGGACCGCCTTTCTTATTTCTAGATCCGCCAGCGGCTCAAGGTCAAACTGAAATGGAAAAATAGTGAAAATGGCACAATTATATTTATCATGGTCATACAGACTACAGTTAAATAATAAATGCTTTGAAATTTCGTTCAAATCCTAGAGCTTTTAAGTCAAAACCGGTGCCCTCGCATAAGTTGAAGTCAGCATGCAGAAAGATCAAATCATTGCAGGCCATGCTTTTCAGAACGACTTCTTCAACTGAAATAAAACCTCCCACCTCAACCTTAAATATAACCAATCCATATCCAATATTGATATACCCTGCCAAACCCGCTTTATTATTACAACACCACGCCTCCTCCCCCCGCCGCCGCCTACTACGCCGCTTTTGTCGCAATCGTCGAAATTATTTGCCCTCAAGGCTTGGCCTTTCGGGCCTTTGAAACACCGAACGCTTGAATGATAAATGACGTTTATGAAGATTTTAGTCCTGTAATGGCAGAATTTAACGAAAAAGTTAGGTAATTTAACCTCTCACTTGCACAAAAAAATATAGTTCTAAAGGTTTTTGATTTGATAAATCAATATATAGTATAAATATATCAACATAATATAATTTATCATCATATATTGATGTCAGTTTTGATTGCGGTGTTGTTTGTTTACCTTTTGCTTGTTATTGTGTTTCAGTTTGGTTTCAGTTTATGCATCATGCATGATGCATATGTATCTTGCGTGTATCTTGTATTGCGATTATTGTATTGGTGATTAATACGAGTGATTTGCCAATTGAGTTAAAAAAACGAAGGATTGCACCGTGGTAAGTGCTAAGTAACTTCATGAGCATTTTGCGAGCGGCAGGAGTTCGAGTTATTGTGGGCAGGTTGTGGGGTTGAGGTCCAGGTTGACCCTCGGTCCTCAGACCTCAGGTCATGCTTCAAATGTTTCGTCGGTTCTGAGATTTCGCATGCACATTTTTGTTTTGTGAGTTATGATCCTCGACAAAAAGCAAGACTCTAGGCCCTAGGGTCTAGTCCGTACTTTCCCGCTCAACAGCTTGCATTGAGAATTGAGATTGAATAGATTTATGCATGGTTTGTTTTAGTTTGGTAAAATTCGGGTAAAATGAATTCGACTTCCTATGTGACGTGGTTGAATGGAATATTATGCTATTATCAGAATGAGCAAGTCCGCGATAGTTGTCGTCAGTTGTCGCTCATATCAAATCATAAAAGTTTTTGACTGCACGTAACTGGAACATGTTGCATGAAAACGGTAGCGATTGAAAGATAGCAAGCGTTGCGACATGCAGCCGGCAGGCACGCATGCAAGCAAACATGGAAAAGTTCCAAGTTTACATCAACTGTCGGCTGGCGCGTCCTTGATGGGATAAATCCAGACGAAAAATCCAGCCTTGCTTCTTTGTCACGTTTTTAGCAGTGCTGTAGACGGGAAACATGCTGACGTTTGCGACGGGCTTGCAATGGGAGGTCAGATGACGCCAGAGGGCGGTGATAGTCGACGGCGATGGGGAGAGAGAGGGCGGTAGTGTCGACAGCGACGGCCGCTGGTGGCGCACGGGATGGCGGCTGTCGAGCAAAATACGAGGGATATACGTAGCTGGAGGCTTATGGCAGAGCTGAACGATGCGTTACTGGTGGTTGAGTCAGCCAAGACGATTGCAATGAGCTGTGGTTAGTAGGATGACTGTGGATAAGTGTTGTGGTCAAAGGAAAACGGTAGACGGTGCTGATAAATGGGAGAATATTCAATATGGGAGAATGTATCGATGGTTGAAGTGATGAATTAACGGAGGTCGGAGACGGCCGGCCACCGACCGGCCACCATCTCCTTCTGTTGGTGACGGTTTTGAGGGATATGGGAGACAACATAGCTGAGATGGCATCGGCCGATGGAAGACGGCTCACGGCGGTGTTGGTAGTGTTGGTGAGCGGTAGCGAGAGCTGAAAAGCCGTGGTAGCGGTGGCGGTTGGACTTTGGAAACGGTGGCGGCGAGATTCGACGGCAATGGGTGATATGGTTTTGGCATAACCGATGGGAGACAGTAGCGGCAGACAGGGGACGAGGCCGTCGGTGACGGTGTTTGTATTAGTCTCACGTAGGCTTACGTAACGTCGGGGCACCCGGCTGGGCCGGCACCACCTCCCGCCGCGGGGACGACTCGGAGTCAGAGCCTGAGTCGTGCCGGAGAGTGGTTAGTTGTGGTCGGTGATCAATTCAGGCATTAGCCAGGCTCGGAGTCAAGCGGCCGCCGGAAAAGGGGCTGGGCAGGAGACAGAGTCATATGGAAATCAGCGGCTGCATCCATGTTGCAAAACTCAGAGTCAAAAGATCTCGCCGAAGGGCCGCGGCATTGACGTCAGACCCCTGATCGTCGGCATTCCCCGCACGTTCCCTGTTGGGCTGGAAATTGTAGTCTCTGAGGTATCGATTTAGAGAAGCCATGCTGTGTTTCAGCTCGATAAAAGGCGGCACCTCCAGTCTCGTACACTGTGAGGAGTCGACGATCAACGTCATTTCCGGGGGGAGTGGCCTCTCGGTGCAGGGCGTGGGGTTCAGGCCAATGAGCTTATCTCGGTCCCTGCAGCCCACGCACTCGGCCTCAGCGACAGGCCGGCTGTCATTTCCTACCCATGCTGACCTGAGAGCTGTGACCGCTTTTCTTGGGTCAGGTCACCGAACCGTCAGCCCATACCGTCAGTTGACGCTTTACGTGTCCCATCAGAGGCTTATTTTTTAGCGCGACGGCGCCGTCTTATCTGATAGTCGCACATCCGGCGGTAGCCGGGCCGTGGGGGGCGGCCGGCGCTGTCTGGGGGCCCGCTTCCAGAGGGGCTCGGCGGTTTGCGGCCTGCAGCGGCCCCCGGTCGCCCACTGGCGGCGCCACGCCCTCCGGTGACCCCTGGGGAGGCCATCCAGCTGACATGTGTGCCCGTCGTTAGCCACGGGGCGCCCGTCCGGCTGGCCGGCCAGTCCGCAGACCGGCCCGGACGCCAGCGCCGCCCAGCGGCCGACGCGGGAAGCTCGCCGACCGTCCAGCCAGCATGAATTGACCTTCGGCTGCAGGACCGCCTGACCGACCGGCGGGTTCGCGGAGCTTCGACGGGCTACGCCGTGACCGGCCGCGCCGCTGAGGCGCTCGCATCGTCAACCCGACGCCGCCGGTCCGTTTCACGAATCGGATGATGGACGCTGGGCCGTATCGAGAAAGGGCCGTGTGCCCTTTCTGTGTGTGCCTCCGCTCCGTTGTAAGACTTCTGTCGTGGGACGGGCGCCACTCGCCAGCTCCCTCCCGGGAGGAACGCAGGGGATGGCCGCGAGGGCTCAGATTACCAACGACGTCTGTCCTGGCGCCTCGGCCGGTCTCTCTCTCTCTCTCTCTCTCTCTCTCTCTCTCTCTCTCTCTCTCTCTCTCTCTCTCTCTCTCTCTCTCTCTCTCTCTCTCTCTTTCTCTCTCCCTCCCTCATTCTCCCTCCCCGCCGAGGGACACCTGTCACTCTTCAGAGAGCGTAGAGCCGACCCTCCTCCAGACGACATCCGCTGAGCAGGCGAGAGGAGGGGACGCGAGACAAGTGCGCGTGTCAGCCCGGCCCCAGCGCGACGGGCGTCGCCTCGGGAAACACCCTGCCGCCGCTGGAGATAAAACTGGTCGGAGCGCCCAAGCAGCAGGGATGATACGAGAGATGCGAGGTGTAGCACATCTGGATGGAAGGGTATTAGCTCCAATGCCGATTTGCGCCGGAGGCAGGGTTGATGATGCAGTGGAGCAGCTCTGGGGATGCTGTAGGACCGCAGGTCCCTCGGTCTCGGGGCCCTATGTTGGTCGTCTGGAGGGCTGGGCGGCCGCCATCTTACCGAGCCGAGCCGAGAGGGCCGCAGGTGTTTCGGCCACGCCGCCTCTGCAGAGCGCTCGCTCGGCCGAGTGTCGCCTCTGCCCGCACCGTGCGCACAGCCGGCGCACACCGTGCCAGAAACGCACAGCGGACGGCGCTACGCATCCTGTCATCTGTCCTGATGGTCCTGGGGATACTGACCGGTCAGCGTTTCGGCGTACTGCCGTGCGTCTACCGCCCCTGCTCTGCCCACGCTCACCGCCTGGGAGCCCCTCCCTCCCTCCCGCCGACCGGCGCGGTCCCACCGCCCGCCCGCTTTCATTCACCGTCACGATCTGCGCCGGCTGTGAATGGAATTCCACCGTCTCGCTCAATGGAAGGACGAGCAAGAAAGGCGGCCGACCGCAGCGGCCGAGTGCGGGGGCACGAATCTTTCGTGGTCATCGGCAAGGCCGAGTCGGATCAGCGCAGTTCCATTCATGGAGCTGAGCAGCGGCCGGCACAGCCGCCCGACTCGCGCCCTCTCCGGCCCAGTCCGTAATTACACCGTCCATTCATCGGGCCGGAATTTCAGGGGCATCCGACCTATTTTCGTTGGGCGGCCTGCATCGGCTTCTCACGGCTCTCTGTTGGCGCCGGAAACGGCTCATCAGCTCCAGAGGAAGCGTGCTGGCGTCTGGCGGCGGCAGCGCCGGTGGCTGGACCGTGCGCGCGCCGACCGGCATCCGGCCGGCTCGACCGACCGACCGTTCCGGGAACAACTGCGCAACAGGCAGCAGCAGCAGCGGAGGCAGCGGCGGACCGACGGCTGCCGCGCCACCGCCCCTATCGCTATCTGCCACTATCACGGGCGTGAATCACAGACGGCCTGAGCAAACAGACGGCCGCTATCTGGGCCGCTGAGAGAGGCGGAGGCCGGACGGGCCGGCCGCGCCGGCGTCCGCCGCCCGCCGCCGCCGCTGCCCGGTCGGCAAGGCCGTGTCTCTGGCGCGGCGCGGTCGGCCCGGCCCCGAGTCGGCCGCGGCCGCTCTGGGCACCGGCCCGCCGCCGTCCGTATGAATGAACCGGCAGCGAAAAACACGCGACCGCAGCGGCCGCGGCCTCCGAGCGGCGCGGCGCGCTGACAACTCGGCCGGACGTCACCGCCGGCCGCGCCGCTTTCGACACCGCTCCGAGGCGCGCCCGGCCAGTCATTGTGGCGCACTGGAGGCACATCCGGCGCGGCAGTGACGAGCGGCCGCGCGGCCGGCGAGAGGTCGGGTCGCCGGACGCGGCCCATTGCGGGCTGGCCCAGATCGGTCGCTCTTCATCATAACAGAAGCGGAGCGCCGACACCGGCGCCTCACATCCGCTGGCCGTCGGGGAGAGGAGTGAGGGTCTGACAGAGGAGAGGGGTGGAGAGAGGGCTGAGAGACTGGCAGAGTGGGGGCAGGAAGAGAGCTCGGAGATGGGGCAGAGGCTAAGAGAGATGCAAGAGAGGAGAGATGACAGAGAGATGGCAGGGCAAATTGTAGATTGAGAGAGGGAGGGAGGGAGAG